ATACACTAATATTGATTGCAATTCATTTTGTTGTATTGGGTAGGCAGAGTTTTGGGTAGAGGTGCACTGAGCTGTGTTTTTAGAGGGAGAGTTGGGTTTTTGAGGACCACGGTAGCGATTAAGCGGCTGGATAAGGAGGACAAGGAGTCTTCAAAGGCATTTTGTAGAGAACTGATGATTGCTAGTTCACTCCATAACCCAAATATTGTCCCTCTTGTGGGTTTTTGTATTGATCCTGAAGAAGGTTTGTTTTTGGTCTACAAATATGTATCCGGTGGAAGCTTAGAGCGGTATTTGCATGGTATGATTTCTGGATCTTTCATACTTTTTAAGGAATTTTTCTTTTAAATTTTTTTCTTTGGTCTTTTAAATGTGTAATTGCCTTCAATTTTGATGAATATTTATATGCAGAGAGGAAGAGGGGAGTGAAGGGTGGTCCATCACTACCATGGTCTGTGAGGTATAAGGTAGCCGTTGGAATTGGAGAGGCAATCGGATATTTGCACAATGGAACCGATAGATGTGTTGTTCACAGAGACATTAAACCCTCTAACATACTCTTATCTTCGAATAAAACACCAAAGGTAAGACATGGGATATTGGATTTGCTTTCTTTTTGTAGTGATTTCAGGATCTAGTATCTTAGTAGTGTTCTAACATTTTCAATGGTATTTTCAGGTATGTGACTTTGGATTAGCGACATGGACCCCTGCACCTTCGATACCTTTCCTTTGTAAAACTGTGAAAGGAACATTTGGGTATGATCTCAATTAGACTTTGAATATAGAAAGAATAATAACAAAAACCATCTATTGTTTCTTGTTGAATGGAGATTTAAATTTTCTTCTACTTACTGAATATTTGGATTGAATGTGCAGTTACTTGGCCCCAGAATATTTCCAGCACGGGAAAGTATCTGATAAAACCGATGTTTATGCTTTTGGGGTTGTCCTCTTGGAACTGATAAGTGGACGGAAGCCAATCGAAGCAAAGAGGGGACCAGGGGAAGAAAACTTGGTTGTGTGGGTATGTCAATGTTTTAATTTTGACTTAATCATCTTCAGTTCTATTAAGTTTCTGACAGTTGAATCAGTGGTCCCCTATTGCCTTACAGTAAAGAAAAGTGGTTCTCGCTACGGATAAGTTTGACAATAACAATAATGTCCAGAACATATAGTTTAAATCACAGGACAATATGATATATCAAAGCTGCTAATGATATATTTCAATCAGTTTTCTGCGGCAATATGGTTCTATGCTATAGTTTTGTTACATTTTTGTGGCTTCGTGGAAGTAGATGGAAATGTTTTCTTTGTATGAATCAAATTAGATTGCTTACTTGAAAAATACTTCACCTTAGACACGGCTAACATGAGAGGAGAAAGAAGGGTTGTTGAGAGAGAGAGAGAGAGGGGGGGGGGGGGGCTGAAACTCACCTTTGCGAAGCAAGTCGAGTCGCGAGGCACGATCGAAGTGCGAACCCTAGTCGCGAACTAGACCGAATCGAAGGAGATCTGAAAATCAACATCTCAAAGCCGATTCCACCCTAGGGCTTCGATTCCCCTCTGGTCTCGACCTCTCTCTCTCTCTCTGTCTCTTCTATCTTCTGCTCTTCTCCTCTCTCTCTCTCTTTTCTTCTTTGACCGTCTTCTCTTCCTTTCCCTTCTCTTTCTCTAGTTTTTATTTATAAATGATATATTAATATAATAATATATAATAGTATTCATATTATAAAATATTTACTCAAAAAATGTTGTATATTATAATATATTATAAATATTATAATTTTTATGTTTAAATTAAAAATAATTTATTTTATCATATATAATGTAATTTATTTTATGTCTAAAATAATTTTTATTTATTATTTATATTTTATTTGTTATTTTTTTAACAAAATTTGTTATTTCTTACCTTTTTAACTCATCTACATATAATAAATATATTTAAAAAAATAACTATTAATATATATATATATATATATTACCGCTCCCTGAGGCGCTCCCTACCTAAAAAACTTCTATCGGCTCATGCTTCCTCGCTCCCGCTCCCGCCTCCACTCCCGCTTCGTGTAACTAAGGTTTGGATACGTCAAAAATTAAAAAGACAAAATTTGAATACGTATTTTGTATATCCAATATGTATGTAGAAATACTATACAAAGTACTATATACCGGTAAGTACCCGGTACGGATACAGCATATTTATTGAAGTAGGCATGCTCCATATGTTTTCAAACACACATTTACCAATATATGCACATTGATAAATAAGCAGGACAGGAAACTTACAACCATTGCGACGAGCACCAGGTAAAGCAACCCGAAAAATGTAGGCACTTTCGCTACGACCGATCTCAACACTACCAAAATGGTGTCCGACTCTCCGTTCATTTGTTGTTCCAGTCAAAACCACAGCTGGGTCCATATTGATGTTCCCAAATTTGGTTCTATAGACAACAACTAAAGTTTCAATTCATTCTCAAAGTTATTCACCAAAAGATTTGGGCATAAATAAACATATAGCTACGCTAGTAAAAGATGAAACCTTTGAAGCTTCACTGTTATACCATATCCAGAAACAAATTTAGTCCAACAGAGATATAGCGATCCCGGGTTTACCCTTATTGTACAGTGATCCGGACATGTGTCCGTGGATGTTAGTAGTTGTTTATTATCGTGTTTGCATCCTTTCTACTTTGTATATTGAGTTATAGGATGTGTTGGGCAGGTTTGTTACAGGTTGGTTGTGTTTGGGAGCCTAGTGCTGCTGCCCAGATTTTCGGACCTTCGCTCGAGCGAGGAGTTGGTCGCTCGAGCGAGAGTTGAGTTCGTGTCTGGTGGGTCGAGCCAGAGTGGCTTCGCTCGAGCGAGCGATTGCGTCTGTTTCTGGACCTGAGAGTTGCACTTCTTGGCTCGAGCGAGCTTTCTTCGCTCGAGCGGTCTGGTTTGTTCTTCGCTCGAGCGAGAAGTCTGTCGCTCGAGTGTGCTTCTGGTTGTAGACCTGAGGGTTTGAGTTGTTGGGTCGAGCGAGCATTCTTTTGTTCGAGCGCACTTCTGAGTTTTTGGCTCGAGCGAGGACTTCTTGGCTCGAGCGAGAGTTTTCTGTGTCTGGTCGCTCGAGCGACAAAGGCTTCGCTCGAGCGAGCGTGTTTTATATCAACGGACAGTAGCGGTTTTGAACATCAGATTTTCACTTTCTTTTTCTTTCAAACCCTAGATCTGAGACCCTCTCTCTCTAAAATTGACACTCTCTCTAAGATTTGATCTCCCTAGAGTGTGAATCTAACCTAGGGCCTTTGTTAAAAAGATAGAGGGCGTTGAAAGCTTCGACTTAATCTGAAAAAGTTTGGATTTTGAGCACGTTGATCTTCGAGTCTTCATCTCCTTTTTGGCTCAAACTTCGAGGTAGGGATATCCTACTCCTCTCTATGGGTTTTGTCTTTAAATTTTAGTATTTTGAGATGTTGGGGTTGGTTTGGTAATGTGGTGAAAGTTTGGAACTTTTGTGTAATTTTACAAAAGTTGGGGTTTTATCTATAATAAACCTAGATGCATGTTTGGCATAGAGAAATGGAATAAATGTCGAATCATTGATGAAAATGGAACCTAAGGGTTGAATGGTAATTATGGATAATGACCTAATTACATTGTTTGATTAATTGGAGTAATTAATTGTGAGGAATGAGAAAATGAAATGAGATTGTTGAGATTGGGAATGCAAAGGGTTAAAGGGTGTAGTTGAATTATTTATCACTCACCGGAATGAAATGTTGATTGAATATCCATTGTGCATTTATATTCTGTTTAGAAATAACTGCTTTGGGCTATCGGTGGAGGACAATAATGACTAGGCAAACGGAAACTAATCAATGGAATGTGTCATGGAATTTGACGGTTGATAGAATACATTAACTGTATGTATTGAGTGATTGTATATAGAACCAATGTGTTTGTATACGTTATGTGTAGAGGAGGAGATGGGGGATGTACTCCGCGGTTTAGGGGAAGATGGGGGATGTACCTCTAAACCGGATAATACCCTATCAATGATGTCCTTTCTCCTTTCTTGTTATTCCCAAAATTATTGTATTTCAATCCATTGAAGTGAAAAGAGATTCTTGGTTCTTGTTTTTTCTCAAACTTACTGTGTGCTCTTCCCATTTCAAAACACCTATGAACCATCTCTTTTTGACCTTTATGCTTGTTCTTAACTTTCTTTTTTCCTCATTTGTATTCTCACATAAGAGCGCTTATATGCTTATCTGTGAATGTGGGATATAGTTTTTATACATATCTGTTGAGATGATGATAGAGCTAACATGCTTATCTGTTGAAAAAGGGAAAATGAAAGGTAACTTGGACTCATAAGTCGTATGACATAAATATGTGATTTATGTGAATGTATCAGTGTTGGCCATCTATCAATTGCTAATCTTTTAGTCATTATTCATGATTGGTTTAGTGTATTTCTACTGGGCTGTGGCTCACCCTATATGGGAATATCATTTTCAGGTACAGGTAGCATGCCACCTCCAAGGACATAGCTTGAGAGGCTAGAGGCGGACATACTTTTGTCGTTTTCTTTTTGATGTATTACATGTAATTTCAAGCCAAGGGCTTAATGTGTAACGAGTTAGTACTCTTTTGTTTTAACCAAGTGTTAACTTGGAAAGCTGTAAGCCCATAGGGCATTTGCTTTTGTTGTTAACATGTAATACTTTTTGTAATGAGACTCTGATAAATGGAAGAATGTGGAACTATTACATATCAATGCATATCTTTATTGATGGGTTTAATCTTGTTAATTTGAGGGCGTTACAGAGAAATTAGGAAAAATGAAATGAAGGCAATCTTGGCTCAGCTCCACACACATACACATGCAAATGTAGAAACAATCTATGAGCAAGTCAAACTATGTGATTCAACTCTGTTATTGCCCTCTATGTCCACTCAGTTGTCCCTATCTTCATCATTATAAGTTACAATATTCTGCACTACTATCCATTCTATTGCAAGTGCAGATGCATCATTACTGCTGCCACTATAGTGTGATGAGGGATAAATAAGAGAGGATAATTAAATTCATGGAGGCAAAATTGTCTTTAAGAAAGAATGCTGGCATTTTAACAAACACTACAAGAAAAAAGGGTTTTTACGACGCGCAATGCATGCCGTAAAAGCCCTTTTACGACGTGCAACGGCACGTCATATTATGACCAGTCATGGAAAGTTGTTCACTTTCAATGACATGCTTCGCACGCCGTTAAAAACTATTTAACGACCTGTTTTGTACAATTTAATATTACAAACAAGCTTCACAATATATGAAAGTTTGACAAAAGCTCTTGAGTAGAAAAGCAAGCAAGCAAACAAAAGCAGAAGCACGAGAAAAATGAAAATGAGTTAATTAATAATGCCATAGAAAATTTACCCAAATATTTTGTTGTGAGTGCATCCTACATTCACCACCTCCATGCACCCTATGTTCATCTCTACCGTTTTCCTCCCTAAAAAAATCATAATACAATGGCAAGAAGCATTTGTTTACTTAAATTTAGAATCTTAATGTAATCCATATGCAAAACGACAAGCTTGAGTAGAAAAGCAAGCAAGCAAAAGCACAAGCATGACAAATGTGCAAGTTTACCTGAGTTTCTCCATGTGAGTGTCCATTTGCCCCTTTGCTTGGCTGCTGCAAGTATTAATCAATTTTTTATTTTTACAAACTTTGTGAAATGTCCTTATATCTATGATGGGAAGTACCAAAGTTAAAAAACAATTAAATTTTATAGGAAGATAAATTTAACCTCATATATTGTGACATTGTTATTTTTTTTTTTTTACCTCATTTTGCCTTTTTCCTTTTAACATTTCAGCTTTTATCTCCCGGAGCTCTTGTTCTAATAGCAGCAATTTTTCATTTAGTTGTCTCATATTTTGATTTTGGTATGCTGCATCAACTTTCGATGGCAATGCTCCAAATCCAAGCCCTCTTGCACTACCACGCCGTTCTAGACCAAATGCTTGAACAATTGCATCATCTTTGATAGACATTGACCCTTCTTCTGTAGAAGGCTTGTGAATCTCTTGAACCTTATTCTGCAACATATAACATTTATGATGAGGAACCCAAGTCTGCTAACTACAAAAACAAGTGCACAACTCACCTATGAATTTTTTCATAAACTGAAAGGAAACACCACCCCCATTCCTTTTATTGAGCATAATTACGGCATGTTGCTGATGGTAATGCTTAGTTCAAGTCTCAAGAAAACAACACTAATATTTCTTCTCTAATCAAATCCAAAAACCCAAAATCCATAGTTTGTACTTATATTCAGAGAAG